TGGGAGGAGGCCGGGCCCTGGGTGGTGGGAGGAGGCCGGGCCGTGGGTGGTGGGAGGAGGCCGGGCCCTGGGTGGTGGGAGGAGGCTGGGCCGTGGGTGGTGGGAGGAGGCCGGGCCGTGGGTGGTGGGAGGAGGCCGGATGTTCTCCCCACTCCAGGCGACTCAGCTGGGCGGCCCAGTCCACAGACCCATGAAAATGCAATGAGGCTTTCAGCTGTAAGTTGAAGTCAATTTTCAGTCATGATACTTGTACACTGTGGGTTTTATAGAAACAGTTTCATTAATATTAAAATCCTTTTATGCTCTCGTTTTTGAGCATGAAAAGGAACCAATTTTCACAGGTTCTGGACCGCGTTGCGGGATCTCTGGGGCCCTCTGGGTCTGCCTGGGAGGGGCGTGGCCTCTGGGCTGGGGTGGGGGTGGGGATTCGGGTCAGAACCAGCAGGTGCCGCCTCTCCGGCCTTCCCAGCACTCTCTGCTGGGGTGACACGAAGTTGCCAACGTCCCCGCACCCCAGGGAGAGGAAGCGTGCCTGGGTCAGACAGCAAGGAGCAGCTCGGAACGCACTGCAAGCCGCCTGCAAAGCGCCTCTTGTGTTACCGTGGAGGCTTCCTCCAGCATCCGATGGTATCGCCAGAATAAGTCTTTATGCAAATAGACGGTTCCCTGAGGCTCTGGCCGGGGCCTCCAGGAAAGAGGACGTGTGTGGGGAGGGGGTGAGCTCATCCACATTCACACCACGTTTCCCTTACATGTATGTACAGCCCATCCCATTCAAACTCCATCACATGTGCACAGCTTATTACATACGCAAATCCCATCACATGTGCACAGCTCATCACATGTGCAAATCCCATCACATGTGCACAGCTTATTACATATGCAAATCCCATCACATATGCACAGCTCATCACATGTGCAAATCCCATCACATGTGCACAGCTTATTACATATGCAAATCCTATCACATATGCACAGCTCATCACATGTGCAAATCCCATCACGTGTGCACAGCTTATTACATATGCAAATCCTATCACATGTGCACAGCTCATCACATGTGCAAATCCCATCACATGTGCACAGCTCATCACATATGCACAGCTCATAACAGGTGCTTAGCGTGTGTGCACCACTCAGCCCCCTCTGCTGTGCAGCAGGAAGGACTACGGCAGGTGCTTGCCTCAGTGTTACCTTGGAGGACATGTTTGGGGGGCTCCTCTGTGTGTCCCCCCACGAGAGCCCGGCATCTGACCTGCACTCGGAGCAGGAGCAGTGTGGGAGAGGCGCAGTCACCACTCACTAAGTGCGTGTGACACTGAACTCACTTCAGACACAGAGTTAGATCAGCTGGGCCGGGACTGGGCTACGTTTTTGAGCCTCACCGTGGCTGTGGGGCAGAGGGGCAGCGTCCGTGCAGAGACTGCACATTTTTATCTCCAAGATTTGTAATGAATTCTTGCACATCCACTTCTTCTTGTTTTATTTCTGCCTGTTCTGTTTCAGAATTCCTTGCTGTGCCTTGATTTACTTATTTGACACTTACTCACTCCCAGTGTCCCGCTGGAGCTGGGACCTGCCCTTGTCAGCAGCTCCCCGTGGGAGAGCCGAGGGCGGCAGGCGGGGCCTCTGTGTGGCCACCACGGCGACTGCGCCACCGGGGCCTCCCTCCCATCCGCGTGCTCACCGCCCTGCATTCCCCCAAAGCTCCGTCACCGCGTGACGCTCCGTCCATTCCCGTGCCCTGCAGGAAGGAATAATGCTGCCAGTTAGACCGTCGTGTCATTTGCGGAAAGACGTGTCTGGATTTCAGAGACGTTGAAACATGAAAAACTACAGCCGAGATCACAGGATTTTGAGGTGCCTGTCGGACGGCTCTCTGAAATCCGTGTCCCGATGGGTGGTGCGTGTGCTGTCTTTGCCTTTCTGTAAAGAGAACCTCATCACGTCACCGTTTATCACCTGTGCACTCCTGCCAGCCCAGGTCCCTTCACGCCTTTTTGTGCTCCGAGGGGCAGGGGCTGCCATGCCGTTCCGTGGCACCGGCTGTGGGAGATGGCGCGTCACCCCCGGAGGGTCACATGGGGGTAAGGACGGGCTGGGTCCTCTTTTTCTTGTTGCATTTCCTCTCCTCGTTTGGAAGGTAGACACTGCATGTCTATTGCTAGCAGGTGCCCTAGATATTTTAACACATATACTATTCGTCTAACTCTGGAGTTGGTCAACGCTCCTCTCCTTCCTTTCAACAACCGTGGACCGTCCAGTGCGGAAATTCTGATCACCCTTCTCAACCTCACGCCTCTGGCCAGCAATCCCCCCCCCACCCCACCCGCCACCCCCACGGAGTAGGTGCTGGTTTCATGGTCCATGTTTGCTTTGATGGCCACGTGTTTCCCACCATCTTTACTCATCTTCTCTCACCACAGACCTGCCACCTGAGGTCCTTCCCGTCCGCCTAAATTGGGTCTTATAGAGTTTCCTTTGCTGAGGGTCTATTGGCATGTGGTAGGCTGTAAAAATGGCCATAAATTCTCCCTGTAACAAATCTATTTCTCCACTGCATAATGCTGCTTGCTTGGTGGAGCTCTGTCTCCTGCTCTGCTTTGGACCCTGGGACCACCCTGCGGGGTGAGAGCCCCCAAAGAGGAGAGTTGGGGTGCCCCAGCCAGCAGCCTGCCAGCCGGCAGACGAGGGAGTGAGGCCATGCTGGGTGGCCCCGTGCCGACCAACCACCAGCCGGTAACTCTCAGAACCAAGAAGGTTTTGAACCACTAACTTTGGGGTGGTTTGATTTGCAGCAAAAGCTAAGTTACTCGTGACCAGCTTGATTTTACCCTCCTAAAAATATCTTTGTTTCATCTTCATTCTAGAGACTTCTAGAACTGGGATAGAATTCCAGGTTGAAAGTTATTTGTCTCAGAACTTTGAAGACGTTCAACTGTCTTAACTTCTACTCTGCACCTGGGACGTCACCCGGTCAGTATCTTTCTTTGGTGAGTGATTGTTCCCTGTCCCCCTCCTCAGACAGGATGATTTTAAGAATTTTCACTGTCTTTGATGTTTTTTAGTTTCAAAACGATGCATTTAGGGTGAATTTAGTATTATTTATCCTGCTTAGGAGTTGTGGGGATTTTCAAATATGAGATTTGGTGTCTTTCCATCATTTGGGAAAATTATCAGCTATTATCTCTTGAACCACTTTGGTGGGCAAAACCCTGCCCACAGCCGGCACTCACAGTCCGCACGGTGGCGTGTGCTGTGCATCGACGACAAGTCCGTCTTGCTCTTGCGTGATGAGGAAAGCTTGAAAGCACTGAACACTTGTTTTACTTCACAGGCAGCTTTAGGAAAATAACTATAAGAACCCCTACTAAGGACTTGTTAAAAGGTCACAGATTCATAGTAACTTATTAGCTGAACGTACACACTGCAACTGCAGAGATAAAAGCTGTAAAAGTAAAAGCTTTTGGCTGTCGACTACAGTCGGCGCTCGGCTGTGCACGTTCATCTGTGGCTGCCGACTGTAGTTGATGCTCGTACCGAAGTGGTTAAATGCTGCCTCTTCTCATTTTTCTATTTCCTTTAAAAATCCAAACAGACGTATGTCAGACCTACTCGTGTGATCTTCCATGTCTTAACATTTCCCATAACTTTTGTGTCCCCGTCCCTCTGGACACATCCCCGGCAGCGTCTTCCCACCGTCTCACCCAGTGTCTCTCAGACGCGTCTAATCTGCTGCTACTTCACTCATATTTCTGGATGTTTTATTATTTCTCAAATCATCTTGTTCCCTGCTAATACATTTAAGCTTCCTTTTAAAGCTTTCTTTGAATTTTTAAAGCATGTTAAAATGTTAATGTCACATGTCTGGTGTTTCCGACATCTGAAGTCTGAGCCTATTTTTGTTTCTTTTTTCCCACTTGCTCCTGATGCCTTTGCCCCCGCGTGTGTCTGGGGCTCTCGCCCTCCCGTGGGCCAGGGGCTCCTTGAGACCTGGGCTGAGGCTGTCCTCAGAGAGGACTTTCTTTCCTCCTTCTTGTCTTCCTTCCTCTCTTTATTTCCTTTCCTTTCCTTTTCCCCTTCCCCCTCCTCCCCCTTTCCTCCTCCTCCTTCCCTCCTTCCCTCTCTGTCTCCCCCTATCTCTCCCCGCTTTGTCACTGTCTGGGGGTGGAGGTGGCTGCTGCATCTGGAACTAGTTTAAGTTAAACTAGTTCTCCCGAGGCTGCAGGGGCGCAGGGGGGGGGGGGGGGCATGCTGGGCTGCAGACCCCCGTGGGGACCGTTTGCTGCTATGACTGAGATGACATTGTCTTTATCTTTTCCCCTCCCCATGATGCCAGGGTCGGGACAGCAGATTTTATCTTTTCCCCTCCCCATGATGCCAGGGTCGGGACAGCAGATTTTCTCTCTGCCCCTTCTGAGTGGCGGGTTCGTTCCTTGTTGGGTCACAGCCCGTAGAAGCTCCCGAATTTCTCCAGGGTTCCCCCCTGCTGTTCCTGCTGGCGCCAGGGCCTGTCTTCTCCTCACCGTCCTCTGCAGCTGGTGCAGAGGCAGCCGGGGGAGGGGGGCTCTGGGGTCCGGCACGTGTCCCCAGGTTCTGTCCAGTCTTTGCCACTGCGCCAGCCCAGCCGTGCATTTACAACCCGACTCAAAATACCTTGTCCTACGTCTGGTTGTTCGGCGGGGAGTGGCTGGCCCGTGCGGCCCCTCAGCATCCTCAGTCCTTCCATCACCTGCTCTGGAGTCACCTGCTCTGGAGTCACCTGCTCTGGAGTCACCTGCTCTGGAGTCTCTCTCACTGGGTGTTCTCGGGGGAGGAGTGCTGCTTTGGCTCGATTGCTCTCCCTTTGCCCTAGCTGCTGTTCTCCATCCCCCTTTCCCGTCCTCCCTCTGCTCCACCCCCACTTCTTCTAGCGCTTTGCAGTCTCCTTGCGCCCAGCAGCGACCCTGCCTCACAAGAGTGGTCCAGTTGGGGGTTCTGCCCCCCAGGGCCGGGGGCGTCTCACAGCCGAGCGGGGGCAGCGAGTGCCGGCTCACCGCAGGCCTCGGAGCTGCAGGCCCTGCCTTCCTGGCCGTGGGCTCGCAGGGCAAGGGCCAGTGGCTTTACGAGTGTGTGTGGAGGTCCTGGCTGGGGTGCCCCATCCTGTACGGCGGTTTCAGTCTCTTTGGGACGCGGTTCCCAGACCTGGGGCCGCAGCCCCGCGGCTCCTGCCAGCCCCCGGCACCGCGCTTCTCGTCCTGGGAAAACCAGCCATTTCTATTTCTTTCTTTCCTTTTTTTTTTGGTAGCAGCCGTGTGTTTGTAGCAGAGGAGATGATGAAAGTGTCTGTCCCTTCCTGGCCACAGCTCAGGAGGCGGCTTTGAAGCCCGTGCTTTGATAGCGATTGTTTTGCGGGCAGAATGAGCTCCCAGGGAAGAGGCCGCGTGCTGCCCTCACGTGGGCGCGTCTCTCCCGGAAGAGACATCACGCAGCCGATAAGGACGCCAGCTTTGCAGTCTCCGTGCAAGTCCTCGACTGCCACCTCCGGCAGATGACCTGCGCTGGGCCCTCATCCCCCACCTGTAAAATTCTGCGAAGCCACTGAGTCTGCGTGTGTTTCCCGAGCATGTCTGTGTGCCGGGCCCTGGCGTGGCGGCAGGAGGACACCCCACGCCCGCTCCCCAGACCCCGAAACACGCGGGTGACACCACAGAGGGAGCCGCAGTGGCTCATCGGTGACCGTGATGTGGGGGGTTCTCCTGGGGTCTCGGCGGACCTGAGGCTGTGGCCGGGGTCCGCACCCAGGAGGAAGAGCAGGAGGTTGTCAGCGAGATGCCGCCGTGGGCGCTGCGCATGGGGTCGGGGCGCGGCCCAGGGATGCAGGTGTCTCTGGAAACTGGGAAGGGCGGGGAAAGGACACCCCCCGCCCCCAGCCTCAGAAAGGAACAGCTCTGCCCACACCTTGGCTTTTATTTAACCCAGTGACTTCTGACTGCCGGGACTGAAAGCCAGTAAATTTGAGCTATTTAAAACCATCGCGTTCGTGGTAAATTGTCACAGCAGCTGCAAGAAGCTAGCACGGTCATCAACGGTGAGGCACCGCACAGTGTGACCCGGCGGCAGGGTGCAGAGGGGGAGTGAGGACTCTGTTTTCTCTCTGCCTCCGGGCTGGCCGGTGGGGGCTGGGACCCGGTTCTTTGGGGCTCACTCTCACTGTGGAAGCTCCCGGCACGGCCCCCAGAAAGCTGGGAGGCTTAAGGGCAGCAGCGTGCCCACGTGGCGGGGAGGAAACTGAGCTCTGAGCCGTGCCCTGCGTAAGGGCCTCGACCAGGCTGACCGGCCAAGGGCCGCCCTCTGGCAGCCTCCGGGCTCCTGGCCCAGCCGCCAGCCACGCAGCCACTGCTAAGAGGACCATGGATGCCAGTCCGCACGCAGAGCGCATTGACGGGCACCTGCAGGGAGCACTTCGGATCCACTCACATTACAGAAACATCCTCGGCCCCTTTTCATCATGCGAGACTGCGCTCCGGGGCTTTCTGGCTGCGAGATCACAGCTCTTTTCGAGGAGAATTATCAGGAGCTGTTTGCTTCAGCCACATTCGACAGGGCAGCTGCCGCCCAGGGCCCTGCGGCTTCCAGGATGTCGACTGAGGATTTCAGTTTCCTTCTTACATTGAGGGGCGGGAGCTGCGTGTCCCTCCCCGGGAGAGAGACAGTGGCCTAAGACGTCCCTGCAGGTTAGACAGGGCGGGCCACTGCCGAGGGACGCCGGGCAAGTCCTGCCTTGGGCAGCGAGGGCCGGCGCCGCCTGCTGGGCTCCTGCGGCCCGGCCTCCTCCTTCCTGGATGGGCCCGCCGGGGGCCGCCCTGACTTGGGCCCCAGCCGGCTCCTCCCTGTGAAATGCAAAGACAGCCCCACGCTTGCTCCTTTTATTTTATTGCCCCGTGCTTCCTCTTCATCCCCGAGGTGTAGCAGTGGGCAGGCCAGAGGTGTAGCAGCGGGCAGGCCACCGTCTCGCTTCCCACCCTGCGGGCCGGTCCCTCTCAGCTCCCCCGAGCCTAGGCTGAGCCACAAGCAGCTTCGGGTCCCTCTGTGCTCTGCGGAGGGGCAGGTGCTGGGGAGCAGGTGAGGACAGAGCCACCCCGCTTGCCTGGCCTGCCTGGAGAACCACATCTGCTCTGCGGGCTCGTGGAGCTCGCTGGGCGCACAGCCTGGGGACATCATGGAGCTGAGCGCCCACCCAGCCCAGCCAGTGGATGGGGTCCCCGGGGCTCTGGGAGGGACCCTCTCCAAGGCTGGGTGGCGAGAACTGTAGGTTCTTCCCTGGGTTTTCCTGCGTGGCCTCCCCCAGGGTCGGCTTCTGCTTCCACAGCTCCTTCCTGCAACCTTGCTCTAAGACTAGCCTCCCTGCTCCGTTCCGCCGCCCCTGGTGCGGGGGTGGGGGTGGGGCTGCCCCACCCACCTCTAACCACTGCACCCTCCGCTCCTTGGCGGTGCAGACCAGCCAGACTGGCTTAGGTCAAATTAAAACAGTGCACTGGCTGCTCATTGAATTAGAAAATGCATCAATGGCTCTCTTAGGGTCAGGAAAAGGAGCCATGCTCATAAGAGTCCGTTATATATAGCACTTGCACTGCGCTACCTAATTTAAAAAACATTTCATATATTTGGTGCTGCCGTAAAATAAATTAGCATGCATACTTGTAAGAAGTTTTCACTGATTCCAGAACAATTTTGCATTAAGTGAAATACCACTCGAACATCCCGATGTGTGATAAAGTTAAGGGGAACATGAGATTCAGATTTTGTTGGATTTTATTCTAAATTTAGAGCACTCAGTTTTAAACTTTGCATCTGAAGCTGTGACAGAGCTGGCAGCGGCCCGTGTCGTCCGGGCCATCCTCAGGCTGCATCTTTGGCGAGAGGCGGGAGCATTTCCCGAGACGATGCCCCGCGGGTGGCACCCTGGGCCCCCTGCCTGCCCACTGCGCAGCTGCCCAGGCCTGCGTGGGCCCAGGAGTACCTTACTGCCATCCGGGGGCGTGGGTGTTCGTGGGCAATTTTTAAAAAAGCTCCAACTCATAAATGCTCCTACAAATATAAAGTAAAATAAGCCAAAGGTTTTCTTTCACTCGTCAGTTAACAAGGGAGGCAGTGACCTGCAGAAAGCGATCGCAGTGAGGCCCCGAGGGAGACAGACGCTCAGCTCAGGCAGGGACCTGGAAACGCACTTGCTGCCCGACACCCAGCCACTCCTCACAGGCCAGCCGGGCGACGTCTGGAATCACCTTTCCCCGGGGCAGACGTGGGCGCCGTCTCCGCTGGACCACGCCCCAGGGGCGCGGGGCTCATTCGTGCCGCCCTCTGCCCACCGTCTTCGCCGAGTGGCAGCACAAAGTGCTCCGCCTTCTATCACACCGCGAGGACACCAGGAGCCTTCTCGGCCCCTCCCAAGCCCTTCCCGACATCAGAACCACGGCGTGGCCGAGAGCTGCATGTCAAGCAGGAGAAAGGGCAGAGACAAGACAGACGACAGGCGGATAAACTTCGCGGAGACCCCGCACAAGGCACGGAGGCACGCCTCAGAGCCTCGGTGACGGCGCTCAAGGGGAGAGGGAGAGATCTGGAACATTCCCCCAGCGCACCGCCCCTCTCCCAGCCGCTCCTCCCGGGAGGAAGAGGGTGGAGAGTTTTCTCTGTGCAGCCACGTCCCCTCGTTCTATCCTTGGCACTTCCGAGGCGAGACTCTTTGGTGACCCCGACTGTTTTCAGCAAAGGCCAACAAAACTTTTCTTTAAAGGTCCTGAGAACGAATAATTTGGGCTTTGCAGGCGGTGCGGTCTCGACTCCAGCCCCGCGGTGTGGGAGCAGTCAGCTACGGCCCTGCTCCGACCGGACTTGAATTATCAGCCCGGAGTTTGAATCTCATGCAACTTTCGTGTGTCGTGAAATAGTGTTCTTTCTTTCATTTTTAAAATCTATTTAACACGTAAAAACGGTTCCTAGCTGTAGGCCGTGCGAAACGGAAGGGTGGCAGGGGGCGGCGGGGGAGGCTGGACACGGCCGCAGGCCCAGTCTGCTGAGCTCTGGTTTCAGGACACCTTCAAATTCCTCACCCAGGTGCTGCAGCCCCGGCCGATGGCCGCGAGGGAGAAAGTCCACCAAGGAAGGCGTCTAAGGGGATTCCCGTGTGTTCACACCTCCGCCCTCAGCCCCCACGGCCTCCCTCTGAGGGGCACCAGCCCGGAGTGCCCTGCTCCGAGCCCCCGGGTCAGCCACACGTCTGCACCCCATGTCCTGAGCTGCAGCCGGTCACCCCGACTTGCCCTCAGGGTGCAGGGAGCGGCCATGGCAGGCTGGGGCCGCTGGAGGGTGATCCATTCCCCACGGCACCTGTTCGCTCATGGCTCCCCTCGCTTCTTGGTAGTGAGGGGGGAGCTCCCCACAGCACCCCAAGTTTATGAGCCCCTGGATGTGTGGGTTCCAGGTCTGATGGTCCCTGCTGCGGGATTTGCACTGTTGGCGACCACGTGTGACAAGCGGGGTGGGAGTGGCCACAGCCTCGCCGCCTGCAGCTGAGAAACCAGCCCCCGTGAGGCTGGACAGGTCACCCACCCTGAGCTGGGGGGTCAGAGGTCAGGGCCGGGGGTGGGGACCTGCTGGCCACGGGCCCCGATGGCCGCAGCAGGAGCTCAGAGGCTGTGCATGTGGTGGCCGTTACCAAGGGGGACAGAAATCCTGGGGCTTCCTAAGGATTGCATAATCGTTTCAGAAAACCATTAAATATTTGATGATGCCATTTTTCCTGTTTCATATCATCGATTGAACACGTGTTTGGGAAGAAACGCCCGACTAGCAAGGCCTTCCTGCTGACTGTGTGTGCTGCAGACAGACCATGCTGTCTGTGTGGTAGGACAGGCAGGCGGGGCTGAGACCGGACCCCGGGAGGCGGCCTGCGTGCAGCGTGTAGGCTGGTTGGAGCTCTGGGTTACAAGTGATGGAAGCCAAACTAGCTAAGGCGAAAGCAGCGGTTTTCTATGAGGACAGGTTATGTGCCGTAAGGGGCGTCTCAGGATTTAGGGTGGGGGCGAGGGGACCTCCAGACCTCTGCAACCCGGGTCGGCTGCCCTCCCTCCACCTGCGTCTCGGGCACCTGCTCCCACTTGGCCTCCGAGGCTGGTCCGCGAGAGCTGGCTGGTGCCCTGTCGTCGTCGGCCTGCTGGGCACAGCCCCGAGGGGCCAGATGTCACTCCTGGTCCCGCGCGTGCCGGGGGCCACGCTGTCCCGACGAGCAGGTTCCGCAGTCCCCACAGGGGCCACCAGGGCCATGCCGCCTCCTCTGCCCTCCGTAGCCGCCTTCTGCCGGCCGCACCTGCGTGAGGCGCACGGCGAGGGAATGCGTGCGAGGAAGCCGGCCGGCTACACCTGCGGGCATTTCCGCGCAGGCCGGGGAAGCGTCTTCTCTGGCAATTGGCAGACGTTGCTGCTCATTGACATTTGTTTGTCCTTTAAGATCAATTTAAAAGTTTCATCTAAATTCGCATTCGTATTTTACGTCTTGGAATGGGGGCGTCTTTGTGCCTCTTCTTTCCGGCCCTTAGAAACCAAAACGACATGGTCCGTGGGCATGCTCTTGAGGCTAATTCTCCCCCGTCTCTCTTTTTTATTTTTGAAACACAGTCTCACTCTGTTGCCCAGGCTAAGTGAGTGCCGTGCGTGTCAGCCTAGCTCACAGCAACCTCAAACTCCGGGCTCAAGCGATCCTCCTGCCTCAGCCTCCCGAGTAGCTGGGACTACAGGCATGCGCCACCATGCCCGGCTAATTTTTTCTATATACTGTATTAGTTGGCCAATTAATTTCTTTGTATTTAGAGTAGAGACGGGGTCTCGCTCTTGCTCAGGCTGGTTCGAACTCCTGACCTCGAGCGATCCACCGGCCTCGGCCTCACAGAGTGGCTGGATGACAGGTTTGTGAGCACGCACCGCCTCCTCCCCCAGTCTCAATGTGCCTCTCGGACACCTGGTGCCACGTCCCGGTTCCAAGTTAAGGGAACAGTAAGACCGCCACAGGCGGCGTCACGCGTGTCCGTCCTGGTTAACCGTGAAAACGGTCTCCCCGGGAGACTCGAGGGAGGCGTCTGAGAAGAGACCAGGTGGACGAGGCGCAGGTGTTTGCTCCGAGTTGCGATGAAAGAGTGGAAGTCCGGGAACGTTCTCTGCAGGAGAAGCGCCCCTGCTCCTCATGTTAGACGGGTGTGACAGGGCACCGGGGTTCCAGCCTGTCTCCGGCCGGGCGGTGCCCCCGGGACGGACCCCAGGCTCCTGTGCGGCCTCGGTTCCACGGGGCCCTCTCTGCACTGTGGAGCCATGAGGTGGCGCCTGCCAGGGCCGGGCACGTCCGGCACTCAGCAGTGAGAGCTGGAAAACCCCCCGAGGACACGTCTCGCTGTCGCCGCCTCTTGGTTCCAGCGGCTGCCAGACGTGCTGGCTGCAGGGGGAACTGAGAGCAACACAGCCATGTGCTCCCCGACTTGGAAATAGAAGAACTGCCTTAAGGAACGTGGAGCTCGCTACAGGGAGATGCAAGGAAGGCCCAGCAGGTGTTCTCACGCCTGGGAGGAAGGCTGCAGGGGGAGGGCTCAGGCGACCTTCCCTGGGGCCCCGGCTGTGCTGGACGGTTGGGCCCCGCAGAGCCCCCTCTGCCCAGGGGGAGCCACAGCCACACGGCGGGGAGGATCCGTGGATTTTGCATCTGGGGGGCAGTTTTCTGTGCTGCCCCCTGCCGGGGTATTTCTGAGCCCTTTCTTGGTGGGGGGCAGACATGGGGGGTCCGCAGCCCCCTCTGCACGAGCTCTCGGACAGGGTCTCTGGGCAGCAGCAAGTGTCCCCACGGGAGCCCGCCCTCAGCTCGCTGTGCAATTTGGAAACCTCGCAAACTTTGAGCACGTGAACCCGCCTGGCCTCGCCACCTGGACCAGGGCCCTCCCTGCCTTGAGGGCTGCAGGACCCCACGGAGACTTCTAGAAGAGGGAGCAGGACGTGTAGCCAGGACTGCACTGAACGGGCCCTGAGCCTGCCAGCCTGGGGGTGCTGGAGCACCAGTACCCAGTGTCCCCCAGCCTGAGACCCGGGTCTGACCCAGGGGCAAAGCGGGGGGACCCCATCCTGCCCTTCCCCCCGCATCTCCCAGGCCCCAGAGAGCTTGGGAGGAAGGGGCCCCACCCCACGGGCCACTTGGGAGAGCCGTCCCCACGTCCTCCTAGAGAAGGGGCGGGGGCGGGGAAACCCGGCACTGTCTTTATTTAGCGCTGCTTTGGCTGAGTTTCCATGGAAACCACTGGTAGCTGGAAACACAGGCCCATGAAAGTTTTTCAACTATCATTATTTTAAAGAATCTCACTCCTTCATTCTTGCCCACGTCTAGATAGCTGTTTCCATGGAAACTAGAATGGAAACTGCCAGAATGAGAGGAAGCCGAATTTTGGGCATTTCCCCTGGTTGCCGTGCAGGCAAGGAAGGGAGGCGGCGGCGGCGGGGGCTTGAGGGCCCCCCACCCGAGTGGGCTTTGGCCAGGCACTGGCTTTGCCAGGTGGGGGCCGGGGAGGGACGCAGGGACAAGCCCCATCGATCCCTGGGGCCTCCCTGCCCTCCTCGGGGCGGCCGAGGCACCATGATCCACAAGGGGGAGGAGAGTCTCAGAAACACTCTCCTCCCCAGTGCACTGAATGCCGGTCCCCGGACCCTCGTGGAAGCACCTGTGAGGCCTGAAGGGCCCCCAGGCACGTCCCCAGCCCAGCTGGGGGCATCCCCACAGGAGGGCGGGTGGGAAAGAGATCAGTGCTCACCTGGGCCCAGCTGACAGGTGGGACAGGTGAGGCTGCCATCAATCCAGCCTGGAAGACGACATCCTGAGGCCGCAGCGGCTGAGCTGCAGAGACCAGGTCGGCCGTGACTGCCTGTCGGCCCTGGTCCCAACGCTGCAGGCGGGAGCTTGGGCCGGCGCTCAGGACGCCGGAGAAAGGGTCCCGTGGGCCTCCGGGTCCCGTCCGAAGCACTGGTGGGGCCCGAGAGAGGCAGCGGGTGGGCCTGGGCGTGGGGCCCCTCTGCGGGCCCGGTGCTCATTCGCGTCT